TATCAAAATACGGATATTTTTGTCGTAGTCATGGACCATGGTTTAAGTATTTAAAGCATTAGCAGTCGTGTGGTAAGAACGATACACGAGATAAAAGTCGACTCAGTAATCGGTTTTGTTTGTGCCAATGACATATGGCTACATTGCATCTCAGCCAAGACATACGCGAAGACAGCTTGACAGAAGAGAGCAAGATTTGAATCAGGAATAATGTAATACCGACGTATTTATCGCCTTAACGCGCACTGCACACTTAATATATAGGTGTATCAATAATGATGCAAATTGTGGTTATTGATCATGTGCTATTATATAAATTACGTCGAAGCCGTGTATATAATCGACTTAAAATTCGGGATTTTTAGCTGAGGCATGTGTAGCTGCTTCTTTCGACTTCATTGTAAGTTGCTTTGCAAACGAAATGAAGTAATTCTCTCTAATTTGGAATCATCGTTTACATTTGCTATACTCGGAGGAATTGAAGGATTCACAAAAAGGTCTGCTGGCATTCACTGCTATATAAATTTCGCACAGAACACTGCTAGTATAATCGATCGAGAGGGAGCCGACTGGAGCAAGAGATACATTCCTAAATCATGGATACCTTACCGAATGGGGCAAGGTACCTTGAGGATGTCACAGAGACGGCACATGCAACCAAGGCTCCGTTGCCAGCAAACAACCGGGTTACCATAAACATATCTGGCACAAAATTCGTATCAAAGTGGGGCACATTAGCTAGCATACCAAATTCCAGGCTGAGCAAGCTGACGGAAGATGACGTCGATCCGGTTGAGCATGACATATTTTTTGAACGAGACGCCACGTATTTTCCTGCCATTCTGGGGCTCTATTCCACGGGGACTTTGCACTTCCCACATAACCTCTGTGGACCCGCCATCTTGGCGGAGCTGGACTTTTGGAAGGTCGACATCACATTCCTAGCACCTTGTTGCAGAGCGTCCTGCTTTGCGTTTGAGATGAAGCAGAATGAGAACGAAGCACTCCTCGCTGAGTTTGGCGAACTTGTGACGCCATCGGATGTTGCTGAGCGCGCCCGTGACTGTGACTCGTGTCGGCAAAGAATATGGCGGTTCCTAGAGTACCCTTTGGCGAGCCGAGGTTCAAAGGTTAGTATCTAGCTATAATAGACTTCACAAATTATAGGTCTACGCCATAAAGATTTATTAGCCAATAATTTTGTGTTTATACACTGCCTATGCCTAAAAAGTATATGAAGTTCATGTATGCCTGGTAAAAGCAATCTAATTTAATTGGGATAAAACTATAAGAGTTGCGATACACAGTTTTGACCTAGAGCATGGAACTAATTTCCTTTGCGAGTAGACCCATTGCCAATTTTACCTGGTAATGCGTTCTTGCGGCTAATAAGTAATATTATGGTATGTCCAAGGCGAGATTATCAGGGCTTTTGCGTATTGTTATTGGCAAGCAAAAGCTATAGAAGTAATGCACTCTTAAAAACGTATTTGACAGTAATGGACCATAAGGCCGCTTCTAAAAGGAAATTAATGGAAATACCGATCTAGTATTCCAGACGAGGTCTTTGTGTCACTCGGTGTGTCATTATTTTTTACTTTATTTACTTTATTCGTCTATTTCTCATCTGAAGAATTATTTAACATGTAGGTCCACTTTAAATACCGTATGACAAATTCGCAGATACC